CTCAGGCTTGGATTTACAGATTATCCGTGGAAATGTAGCTCTCTAGTTTCTCAGGGAGTCAGGCAGCTTAATTTTCTTGTGCTGCTCTGAAAATCACAGATTTCGGATCCCACAAATGCTTCTACAGACTTCAGAAATAAATTTAAATGAAAGTCAAGTTTTAATGATCACAGGGATGATAAATCAAGAACTTTCTGTGAAGGAGGGCAGGTAATTTAAGAATTAATTCTGTGCTGCTGCAGTGTTGAAGCTGGAGCATTATCTGAGCTCATGCCCTGATAAACTCCCTCAAGGGCTCCCAGGAGTCCCACCTGCAGCTCCTCTGACACCCCAGGCTTGGTTTGGTGGGTGGATTTGAGGATGGGGACCCAGGAGAGGAGTGCAGGGGACCTTCCCACAGCAGCCCACTTCAGTACTAGTCAAAAAATGAGGGGGAAAAAAAGAGTCTTTTTAGTCCCATTCAGAATATTAACACAGCATTCCCTAGGGACAGAGGAGAAAAATGAGCCCACATTTGTGGCCATCTCCTCATTCAAGTTCTCCAGCTTGTTGTAGCCAACTAAAAAGCTGTTCAGACTTAATTTCATAGAATCATAGGATGCTTTGGGTAGGGAGGGACCTTTCCAGGTCATCTACTCCAAACCCCTTGCAGTGAGCAGAGACAGCTTCAACTAGAGCAGGTTGCTCAGAGCCCTGGCCAACCTCCCCTGGAATTTATTCATTCCAAATAACCTTGATATTTAGCCAAGATATGGATGAACTTCCAGCCATGCACTCCAGTTTCTTCATTAGCTCTAGATGCTACTGCAGCCTTCAGATTTTGAGGCTCTTTAAGAGCACCTTGCTCAGCATTCCACACACAAGAGATCCACCCTGAGTTACTATTGACTGGCCTAATTAAGGGTGAGAGGAAATGATTGCAGAGCCCTCTCTGATTTCCAGGAGGTACCAACAACTCCAGTCATTAATTCACCCTCCCTCTCCCTGCACATCGATCCACAAATGGATTTCCTTGTTGATAGAGAAATGCTCTCAATTAAGAACTGGTGCTAACTGGGGTTTTTACCTTTCTGTAAATGGCAGGACTGCTCTGGAAGGCTCTAACACAACCTGTTCAAGTAGTGGGCTCGGGGTTGTTCCTCATGGACCACTGGGCTCAGTGTTGCAGAGTTCTGTGAGCCAGGAGTCCCTGTGTGTGAGTCTCAGTCAGTCCCTTCTCCATCCTGCAGAAAGGAAAGTTCTTGCAGTCTGTGCTAGGGCAGAGGGGCTGGGAAGTGCCCAGCAGAAAAGGACCTGGGGGGGCTGGTGGAGACACAGCTGGAGATGAGCCCGAGGGGGGCCAGGGGGCCAAGGAAGGCAC